GAAATAAAATGGAAAATTCAATTCCTCAGTCACAGTACTCACATTTGAAATGCTGAACAGCCACATGGCCTGATGGCTACCATATTGGACAGAGCAGATTATAGAACATATCCATCAGCATGCCAAGTTGTACTGGACAAGCCTGAGTCTAGAATCAAAATTCAGAGAGAGTGTTCTACTGCCAAGGAACTGGCTGCTATGTATAAACAAGAAAATTACCCACTCAGGTAAACAGAACAAGTCTGTCTCATCTCTGTACATAGGTGCAAAAGTCAGCCTATATAAGGCAAAGTCAGCATATGTAAAGGAAAAATAGCTTAATGTCAAGATTTCCCTTGAGAAATATTTTAGAAAGGGGTGATTTGGAGACTATCTCTCAGTATATCCAAAACTGCAGTTTTACATCCAGTGCTGGAGCAGATCTTTGTTTTTTTGGTTGAATACCAGATGGAGGATTTGGTTTGTAGTCAGGGGTGATGCATAAGGAATAGTAACAGTATCTTTAAACACTCACATAACATTTCAGGGAGCTGGAGGCCTCAACTTTGAGAAACAGGAAATAGAACCAACAGAAGGCATGTTTGAATCTCATTCCCATTCTTAGGGTCTTGGCTTTTTTGATGGGATGAGAGGTGGACCTGACCGCAGGATTTAAGTGATTCTTTTTCTACCTGTGGCATTTTTGCTTTGTTTTGATGCCAAATGTGTGGAGCTGAAGCTGAGGATGTTAAATGCATTCACAGTGTGATTCCTCACAGACAGTCTGTGAAGCAAATCTTTCTTTGCTCAGAGCTTGGAGGAAGCGTTTCCTCATCAGCCAGACCTCTGTGCTGTGTTATTGACTGCACAGAGCTGTTCCCCTCACTCACTGTTGGGAAGGCCAGAACTTCAACCCCATCGCCAAGCTTTAGGACATTTACGTTGGCCCCACAGCCCAAACCTGAAGTGAGTATATCCTGATAAGCTGTGTGCCCATGGAAGTGCAAAGGGCATTCAGACCTCTGGAAGCCCAACCGAAGTGCTTTCTACCCAGATGTCTTCCTGGTCACCCCAGCAAGCAACAAGCTCTATTCTCCCCAAACTCTCAAAGCATGCAATATCCTGCCCGCTAGATCTGGCAATGAGTATTTATAGACCTTCATCTTTTCATATATTTTATATGCACACATCCTGTCTTTCCTGTTAAATCATGTATTCTTCAAGGATAGATGGTGTATGTCTTTTATTTCTTTTTATAACCTACAGTGACTAATATGATAGCTTCTTATAAAAGTGCTCCATTAATATCTAGATTCACTAGTTCATCAGTTATAAATGATTCTCTTATAGGAGAGAGGAACTATGGACATTAATTAATGATACTTAAAAGCACAAAACTATTTTTAAAGGCTAGTATTTGCCTTTCAATTTGAGGCTAAATTTTTAAAACCATTTGCTTATTTTTAAAGTTATTGAGGATTGCCAGGGGACTCCCAAGTCAGGAATGTGTGTAATTTACAAAAGCAAAGAGATTGCTGGCAGTCTTAGGCAAACCTGTGAGGAACCACCCCTCCCCGCCACACACTTTAATTCAAGCCTTATGAGAAGAGGTCTATTTCCAAATAAAAGACTGGCTTTCTTTGCTCTTTTCTTTTTTTCTCCTTTCACTTCTTCCCTTCCTCCCCCCCCCCCCATACTGGGAATTGAACCCAGGGCCTTTGAGCTGCATCCCTATCCCTTTTTATTTTGAGACAGGGTCTTGCCAAGTCACTAAGTTGCCAAAGCTGTACTGTGATCCTCCTGCCTTAGCCTCCCAGAGTGCTAGGATTATAAGCAGATGCCACAATGCCTGGCTAAGACTGTAATCTTGCGCTCCATAGTGCATGTGCTTTTTTTTTTAATTTAAAAGAATGTGCGATATGAACACTTAATTAGAATTTTAAGGTAACAAACCATACTATTCCATGAAGATTCTCATTAGCAACAAAAACTGTTTTAAGCTGTTCTTCATTATTTTGGGGATATCGTCCTTGTTCAATTTTAGGATACCATTAAATGTCATTTTATGCTGAGCTAAAGGACATTTTTACTGCATTAGCAAAAATCCTTAAAGTCTATTTCACAAACACCACTCAAATATTTAAATATTGCATGCTAATTCTGGTTAGATTTTTAAATAAAATAAGGCTCCAGTAGAATTATATATAAAACACATTGGGATGAGTTAGAGCAGCCTTGAGGATTAGCATGTTTTTCAGCTGCTGTGGACTGAACGCAGGGCTCACACATGCACTCTGCTGCTGAGCTATACACCCAGCCCCAGAGATTAGCGCTTTTATACGGTTTCTCTATAAAACTGTGGAGGGTTATTGTAGAAACTGGAGTCACGGTGGTTTTAGACTCTGGTTTTACCAGCTGTAAGCAATGTCTGCACTCCTGTACACCTGTTGCCACTTCTGGCTCTCCGAACACGTTGTCAGTGGTGCCGCTGCAATCCTCATCCCCACAGGGGGCAAATGCAAGCTGGAAGTGTAAAGCCTCCACCTGAGCACACACCTCAGATCTGGAGTGCAGGAGCACCGCACTCCCACCTCCTCACCCTCACCGGACTTGTCCTTTACTTCCTCTTCTTCCTAGAACAACGTTGATTATTTGCACCTGTTGTTTTAGGATTACTGACAGCTAGGCACGGTGGTTCACAGGTTGAGGCAAGAGGATCCCTTGAGCCTAAGAGACAACCTTGGGTGACACAGGAGAGCCCATCAGAAAAGCAGCAAACTAAAAGAATGACAGAAAGGGAGGTTCCGGGTTATTAGCAAATGCTTGTTACCATTCTGACTCATGAAAGCTTGGAAGGCCCCCAAACCCTACATCATCCCCAAGGCCTGTGGCTGGTTTGCCATTTCCCAGGGCCTATTAAGGAGGGATTGTCTGTTTCCCTATCGAACAGTACTGCCTCCTTGCCCTGTGTTTGCTCACCTAGTCAACCTCTTTTCCTGGGAGACGGCAGGGTGTATCAAAGCATCCGTTGCTGTTTCCCCTGCTGTCCAGGTTGGGCACCTCAGATGCACCTACTTAATTAATTATGGAGTAGATATTTCACACAGAAGTTCTCTGCCTCTTGTGGGTTTTATTTTTTTCTTTTCTGGAAAAGCCACTGTGAAATTCACACGGTAATCAGGAAGTGGCTGGAAGCAGCCCTGCAGAATTGTGTGTGCAGCACTTGCGTGTGTGTATGTGTGTAAGGAAGTTCATTTCCAAGTGTCCTGAAAGCCACTACCACTTGCTGTTCAGCTCTGGGCAAGTTATACATCACCATGCATGTTTGCCTCACAGAGCCCCAGCCTGCTGGTTGGTTTTCCAGTGAATGGCTAATTGAAGTGCTTGTCAAGGAGCAAGACAGGCCTCCTCCAGAACCTCGATCTTTTAGGAGAAGTCATTATTTAAAATGGATACCAGAGCACTACCTCACCCTACACCAACCCAAAGTAGAAACATTTCTACAAGAGGCCTTTAGAAGGCAGAATCATTTGAGGTACAGGCAGGAGGGAGACAGAAAGTTAAGTTAGGGACGACAACACACAGTTGTAATGTTGTAATGACAGCTGCAGGATTTTGGCAAAACAGAATCCGCATTTTGAAAAAGTTTTCACGGAACAGTATCCACAGGCCAGAATCTCAAGGCCCATTCATCCCGCAGTGTCATTCAGTGATGGGCCGGGAGTTCCTGAAAGCACAGTTGTTTAATCTGGGATGCATGACAACCTACCTCCAGGATGTTTCTTAGAAACACAAACTCTTGGGTCCTACTGCAGACATACTAAGACAGACTCTTCCAGGGTGAGGCTAGAGTTGCTGCCCCTTAAACAGACTTTCTGGGTGATTCTTAAGCACACTGAAGTTGCAAGCCACCACAGACTTTTTTCACTCATTGCTGGATCCAAGAGCCTGGAACAACTGACACAGCTCAATAAATACTTGAATGAATGAGGGCCCCAAGGGCTCGTGTCACTCAGAGACACCAATGACCCATTTCTTCCAGACCGTCTAATAACTGCCATGAAACACTATCATGTCCTCCAAGGTGCCATCATTGCCTGGCTGGGGGTGGGGGACTCTATCTCTGCCCAACAGCTGCAGCAAACTGTCCCCACCTAAATAAGCCTCTTCCCTGTCTGCACCGAATTGCAAAAGCCACATCAGAACAAGCAGCAAACTAGTCTCCTAGTTCTGCCCTCTTAATAAAACTAATGAAATTCCAATTAGTCTCTATTACTTACTAATAGCTGAATCTGCACAAATTTCTACATGCTGTCCAGTATTATTTGTAGGTCGAACAGCCAAGGAATCAAATTTCCTAATTGTTCAAACCACAGGAAAGGCAAGAAAAAATACATTCTTGCTGTTGTATACATACTGTGTTAAGACTGTATTTATTGATTTATCAGGAATCCACACCATCCTTCAACAGGTGAGTGGATAAAGAAATGAATATCGATACAGTGGACTACTGTGCAACAATATACAGGAAAAACAGATACAAACAACACGAATGAAGCCAACCCCAAAAGATTATACATTGTGTGACTCTTTTGTGACATTCACAAAAATGCAACTCTAGGAGGGAAAACAGATCTGTGATTCCCTAATCAAAGTTATGTTTGGCGGCAAATTTAACTACAAAGGATAATACAGGGAATTTGGGGGGGGGCAATGCAATGATTTTGTATCCTAATAAAATGGTAGTTACATTCTGAATGTTACCACTCACAGAACTACACACCAAAAAATGAATTTACTATAAGCAACTTATATTTAAAAAGAACCCACTACATCTACAACTCATTTGGTCTCGGAGTAACTAAGACACTTTCCTTTTTTTATTTTAATCAGTGTGGGAAAGACATTAACAAGTGGTCTTGAAGTATGCATGTGAAACTGAGGGATTATTGCTAGTTCACACAGTTTATGCTAAGTGTATTATATAGGGCCAAATGCAGCATGTAATAAACTGGAGATTATTTTGTAGAAAAATTCCTTTATTATAGTGCAAATAACTTTCAGCAGTGACATAATGTAACAACACATTTAGCAACATTTTACACCACGCAGTAAATAAGAAAGTGTTTCTTTGAAAATATTTTATCATAGGAACATTATTTCTGAATTAATGCCAGAAAATGCCAAGGCTGTTTTTCAAGGCAACAGGACTTTCTCCCTCTTTTTGGATATTTTCTTTTAAATACAAATGGATTTGCCATTTAACAAAGCATCAATTCTAAGAGTAATCTCTTAGAGGGTTTTGAGGTTGGTAAGATTTGAAATGAGATTTCAAAATTTAAAAAAATACTTTTAAGACAATTCTGGGATAGCCCAGAAAGCACAAGTCACTTTCATTAACTGGTAAGTAGATAGACACATTCACTTCAATGTTGCTGCAGAAACAGATTGTCTAAAGCCTGTCTTTTATTTCCCCAGAGCCTGATTGTTATTCCTTGGTTTTTGGTTATTGCAAAACTAGGGCTCTGGACAGAAATAACTCCTTACACACACAAATACTTTCCTGTGAAGCTTTAAATTGCACTTTCCACCCTGAAATTCCCACCTTACCCCTCACATGCCGAGGAGAGGGTATGAACACGTGCGTTCCAGTTTACAGCTAACCTTAGGATAGAAGGCTCCCTGCTCACTTAGCTATACTTAGGCCATCGCAACATTTAGATTAATCCCAGCCAGTTTTTCTAAGAGGTTCCTCCTGACCTCTGAGGGAAATAAAGGGTTAATACTGTATTTTCACACTAAGCTGCCTAAGGGCTTGGCTGCTAATGAGTTAGCCGATAGGCTGAGAGAACACAGTGTCACTTCCAATCAGTTATACTAAGACTCCTCTAGTTTCCCTTGAATTATGCAGTGGGTGGGAACAATGAGCACTCAAAAGAGCCCTCCCATAGGGTCTTCCACACACCTGAGTCAAAGTTCCTACAAATAAATTCAGGGTACCCTCTAAGTCTCCTCAAAAGTGAGGAGTGAAAGGTTAAACGCAGGCTTGAAAATACCCGGAGCCATAGATCAGCCCTCAGAACTGAATATGGCTAAGTCAGCTGGTACAAACAGCTTGTAATGTGCAGCCAATCTTTTTGGATAAAGTATCTTTGTATATAACACCATGGAACTGTGCTAAACAGTTTCAAAGTTGAGAAGAATCCAAATATATCACCTATAAAAAAATTCACAATTTTAGTTTGCTTTGTTTATCTTAGACTTTGGTACTGAAACACTGTCTACATTCTCGACACATGAAAATGATCTGGCCACTTCAGTGCCTCTGCATGATGTATAAAAAAGCAAAGCAGGACAAGGACATGTCACACAGTATGCTGTACAAACAAAATCTAAATTATATATAAATACACCCCTACCCCAGCACCCCTTCCTTCCCCCACTACCTAGCCAAAGCAATGACAAGGGTTCTTCTCTTTAGGGCCAACGCACCTTGTGAAGTTCAGCTCCCAGGACTCCAACCACCCCTGGCCTTGCAGAGACATTTACAGTTTGTAGCCTCTGGCTGGAGACACATTACAGTTTGATCACTTCCACAAGTGCAGGGAGACCTCAACAGCTTCATTGGAAGCATTCGCACTATTGCCTGGACTCAAAGACCTGGAGTCCTAGGATTTGACCTTTCAGATAAACAACTTGATCCTTTCCTAATCTGGATCCCATCCCATCCTACTATGTACTCCAGGCTGACATAGTAAGAACCATCTTCTACTCTGAAGCTCCAAAGGCATTGCTTAGGGATATTGGTGAGGGTCACAGAAGAAAAGTTATACAATGAGCTAACAGCTTAAGTGGATTATAAATTATTTCCAAGTAAGTTATTTGGGACCATTTGTTTCTGCTTTAACTGCATTCCAGAATCATTTTCATATTATACTTTTAAAAGTTTATATAAGTCATTTAAAAAATTGTCTATGCAATCACCTCTTTTGTGTTTTCAATTAATTTAATAACAACTTAATGCACGAGTATGTAAATCTAGGGAGTAATTAGTTTTAAAGAAGCCAATACTGTGCTAATTCACAGTAAGGAGAAGAAGCAACGTAAATAGAATTTTACATAATCGACAGTATCTTAAAAAGCAGTTTTATCGAAACAATGCAAATCTTTCCCAAAAGCACTTACAGCATTTATATGAAGAGATCCAAAGTTCAAGGGTTTGGAGAATACAACTCAACTCTTTAGGCTACAAATTCACCTTTTAGATGTATTGTAACATGTAATTTTCTCTCCTCAACCTAAGATATTTATACATTCAAAAGTTTATAACTTGCTGTCCTTGAGACGTTGCTCATTCTCTAATACATACATTGAATATAAATAAATAGCTACGAGAAAGCTTCAAAAATCTGAATTGACATTACACTGCCAAAAAAAAAAGGAACAAAACAAAATTAAACTTCAAAAAAATCTACATTCTATGTAAATACCCTGACTAAAATGTTGGTTGTGCTACACAATTCTACTTCAGTGCAGAAATGCGTTGATTTCGGTGTACCGTTGTTTTAAATGCCTTTGGCATTTTTGTTTCTTAACATCACCTTTGTTTAAAATGATGAATAATTTGATACCAAATCACAAATCATTACCAATCCATTTTAGCTTAGTCTGAATAAAATCCAGCATAAATGTATTACTTTGTTTTGGGAATAATGGCTCGGTGTCTTTGTCCGACAGCTTTCTTTCTACAGGCAAACCACAGTTGAAATTGTCAAGTTTTCATTTTGGGTTTAAACTGCACAGAAAGAGGAGACAGTGAAGCTTGCCTTTTGTTTTCTTTTTAAGTCTCTAGATCTTGATAGGACACTTCTTCCAGACCAACAGTCATGTAGTTGTGGCACCTGATCCTATTTGAAACACAGGTGGTTTAAACATCAGCCAAGCTTGGTGATCTGGAGGTCCCCATTTATCTTTATGGTGTCAATGGCAGATAATGTTTGAATACGATGGTAAAAATCAAAAAGTTGGTGTCCATCCACAAACACTCTGAAACGTGGGTGCTCACAAAGAATTTCCACCTGGAACAAACAAAATATACAAATTCACAATTTCAATGAACCTTGGTAGGGAAAACAAACTTCATTTTAGGGAAAAAAAAAAAAAAAGGCATAATAGTCAGTGATTCTCAAACATCAGAACCAGAGAGTGAGCTAGATGGAACACAGAATGCTAGGATCCACTCCCGAAACTCTCAGTTCAGTAGTTCCAAGGTAAGGCTTAAGAATCTGCGTTTTCTACCAAGTTCCAAGGTAACGCTAACATCACTGGGATGGGGAAAACAATTTCAGAACCACTCCTCTATACTATTCAATACCCTTTACAGGTTTTAAATTGCTTAGGCTTTTAACACTTCTCCTGGTACTCCAGAAACTGATATAAAATAGCATAGATTTATTCACATGACATTTAATGCCTCCATAGTCTTCCCCTGAACAATTCCATTCCACCTTCAGAGGAGCCCCTCATGCGGCAGAATTGGTACCCATTAGTAGCAGGTAATAATAGTCTAGGCACTAAAACATGGTAAACACTAAAGTAGAGAGAAGGTTACACAGTAATTACCACTGGACTAAGAATGTGTAATTAGCAAGGCTTTGTTAAGCCAAACAGAAATACTGAGTCCACATGGTAAAAGCTTTTCCTCTCCTTCTCCTTAAATTATTCACCACAGAGTCTAATTATTGGCTCTGTGCTCGATGTATTTATTAAAAGGACTGGTATTTACCAGGTAAGGAGCGATTCCATATGTGATATTAATCACATTTACTCCATATTATTGGTAAAACTGTAGCACCAAGGGTCTATTTCACTCCAGTGTTATTGCTGGGAAACATTATATTTCTTCTGGCAGTCAGGAACTCACACTCATGGCTAGGGATTATGATTCATAATTAAGAAACTGATGTAGCCAAGAGGAGCCTAAGGGGACATTTCCATCCTAAAGAAGGGGGAGATATGGGATGAGATAATGGGTGAAGGGTACCTTCTCCAGACTATGATGATTCTGGAGTAACCACCTCAATTTTATCACTGATATTAAAGTTATGAATTCTTATTTTCTCCCCATACTATAAAGAGAAATAATAAGGTCTTTGAAAACTTCTAGATGGGGAGCAACATATTAATGGTAGTTCTGCTTGATCAGGCTCAGACCTAACACAGAGCTTACTATTAACAGGATGTGATGAAGAGAACTTCATCACCGGGCCTGGCACTGTGGTAAGTCCTTTTTAATGCACTATTGACTGTATCTCTTATTGGGCACTGTCCTCCATGGAAGAAGGTGCTGCTAATGTTGCCCGATACATGGAAGTTGGGCTTGTGCTTCCTGCCTGCGAGATAGTGGGGAGCAAACCTATATTTATCCAGGCCCAAGGGAAGGAGTCTGTCAGCCACACAGCCTGTGACCATGAAATAGACTGAGGCTTAATTAACCCAGAGAGGAAAACAAGGTCACAGGCATGGCCTCATTAGCAAAGGGAAAAGAGAGCAAGAAATGGTAATATTCAGTTCTTCAAAAAGTTGTAACTAATAAGGTTTCTGAGCTACTTTCAGGCTAAGGAAAAAAAATGAAGGAACTTCTAGATACTTACTAATATTTGCTAACCAATCAGATATTTGGGGGCAAGTATTTTAGTATATGCTTAATACTATGTTCAGTACTACAGAGCAAAGCATTTATTAAGTTAACACATAGTAGCTAAGTATAGTAGTTGTTCAGTGTTAACAATCTAGTTATGTAAATATGGGCGTATTTACTAAACATAAGGCTGGAGAGCTTTTGGTGAATGTTAGTTTCTATCAGCACATACAACTGTTTTAATTTTTTTCTTTCACCATTAGGTGACAAAATTCCTGACCAGGCAGAAATTCTGGCTGCTAAGAGTGTGCTTGGAACACACTAGATAAGGAGGACATCACGGCTCGGCCAGCGGTTGTGGCCGAGGCTCTCGAGGTACTCACCCTGAACGGCTGGTCTGGGATGAATGGGAAGTACGGGATTGCTGACTGTTCTTCACCCCTTTCCCCAGATATACAAGAATTTCTGAGTAGCTGCCGGTCTGTGAACACAGCTTTGAGTTCAATTGCCACATCGGCAGGGGGATCTTCTGAGTCACCGCAGGTCAAACTGATCGCAAAGCTGAAAAAAAAAAAAACCAGATGCCTTTATTCAGGATTGGATATAACATTTCAATAAGCTCCAAGTCATTCCTCTTCTTGGTTTGTCTGTGTTGAATGGGTTATTACTCTTCATAAGCACTTAAACTACAGAGAAGCAGGATTATATTCAAACTAGTTTCATTACTGCAAGCAGGCTCTGTTGAAAGCTTCGGTGGAGTTAAAAAATGACTGAAATTAGAGTTCAAGTTCCCCAACTGTTCACACATCTCTATCTTTTTTGTGTATTTGAGACAGGTCTCGCCATGCAATTTAGGCTGGCCTTCAGCTCACTTTGCAGCCCAGGCTGGTCTCAAACTTGCAATGACCCTCCTGCCTCAGCCTCCTGAGTGCTGCGATTACAGGCATGCACCACCACGCCTGGCTTAACATATCTGTATCTTAATCCACTTCAGAATTCTCAAAAAACAGCCTCAGAAGCCGACCCAGAAGAAACAGTATCTTGTAAAGTTTGGTTCCTACTTATGTTGTTGATTTTTGTTCCAAAAATCATGTTTCAAAACTAAAAGAGAGAAAAAAAAGTCCTTTGGCCTCTCTAAGGGTCAAAGAGAGAAAATATGGGTCTAAATTTGTCATCTCTGATATAAATAGCTGTCTGGAGAAATGATGGCTAGGATTCATACACATTCTTTTCATGGGAACATGGTACTTACTTGGCATGCTCAATTAGCAACACTGTCTGCAAGGAAGGAAGAGGAAGAAACTAAACCACAACAGGAGTGGGCAGGGCCAAGCCACTGCCTAATAATTCTGAGGATGGCAGGACTCTGCCTTACCTCTCTGGGTTGAGGTCTACGATGCCCATCACTAACACTTTCTTGCCTGGTCTCATGCCACCTTTAATGTGCCCACAAAATGGGACGATCTGCAAAGGAAGAGCGGAGAAACAGGAAGTTTAGGGGCTGAGAGAGAAGTGCCGAGCCCTCATATCCTGAGGACCTGACCCATTAGAAGACGCAGGACAATGCAGTTATAAAGGAAGGGACCCAGGCAGAGGCAGGGAGCACACAGCAGAGCATTTACCAGTCGTGGGAAGTACACGTCGGCTTGAACTGGAGAGCCCAAGGAGTTGTTTAAATGCCCATCATCCAGTTTCTAAAAATAGAAGCACACAGATTGGCTTTCCACAGACCCTTTTTCCTTAGGGGGTTTGGCGGAGGGAGAACCTGCATAAATCTGTTGGAATCCAGCAGCCCACCCGCAGCCCTTCACAGACACACAGCCAGTTTCTGCAGAAGATGCCTCTTCAGAGTCCATTAAATAAATGAACCATCCCTCCCGACCAAGACCGTTCTTTCCATCGGGTAGCTAAACATCCCTTCAGATCCAGATCTCATTCAAGGTCGCGGGCCTCCGGGAAGGCAGGAGGTGGGCAGGCCCCTCCTCAACTACAAACGATTCTGCAACCTCTGGAACCGGTGTGGCCCAGGCCTGTCCTCGGGGACGTGGCTGAAGTGAAGCGGCAGCGCTCAACTTCTCTCGGGAGCCCCGGGCACCGACCCACTTCCATCGGGGAATCCCCAGGACACGGGGGCGGCCGCGGGGAGCGCGCCCCGGACACTCACCCGCGCGCGCACGTGCAGCGCGCACACACCTGGCCCGCGGTGCACAGGCACGGGGCGCG